TCGACAATGGGAAAAATTAGAATTCAGACTAGCCATTAGCTCGTCAAAATGGAAAAATTAGCGTTCAGCCTAGCGGTTAGCTTGTCAATGGGAAAAATTGGCCTTCAGCCTAGCCGTTAGCTCGTCATTGGGAAAATTTAACGTTCAGACTAGCTGTTAGCTCGTCAACGGGAAAAATTAGATCTTACAAAAATAATAAACAAGGTTATTGAAATCCAAAATTTTAAAAATTAATTTTGAGAAAAGTTAAAAAAAAAAAAAAAAAAAAAGGTTTTGTCCTTTTGTCTGAAATACAGTTGGTCCACAACCTGCGGCTTGGGGGCCACGCCCCTTTAGTCCCCTTTTAGTGGCTTTTTGCTGCTTTCACCCAAAACAATGTAGAAATTAATATTTACGTCAATAACTACCATAGAAAAGGCTAATGTAGTCGTTTTTCTTCTGTTACACAAATATGTGACAAAACGATACAAAGAGGACAACATTTAAGCTAGCAGCGCATTAGCCTGCTAGCTTAAATGTTCCAAAGAAATGGTTTGGTCAAATAAATGTCAAGGTTTTATTACATATCTTTAATTTTTTTCACCGTAATAGTTTTTAAAAACAACTAATGAGTTGTGTTGTCTTTAAAGAAATAATTCAAGTAGGTTTTAGTGGTTCTTGATAAGTTTTATTTAGCGATATTCTTTGGTTTAAATGTCCGGCCTAAAAGTTTTAAAATGCAATCTGAGTCGTACTTCATACCTGAACCAACTGTCCATAAGTTAACGGGAGTTTTACTTGGATCGAACATGGCGATCGTGTTAAATTAAAACCCGGAAAATCCACAAATATGCAACAAACATTAGCTTCTTGTGTTTTCTGTTTTATGCAGACGATGTGATGTTGTTTTAAGCTCATTAATCCAGGCAGAATTAATACCATTCTTCAAAATAAGGGTACGCAAAAAGCTATCTGCAACAGGTAAGATATTAACAGTTCATAACCTTACCTGAACTCAAATCGAAGACCTGAACTGTCTCTTTATAAGTTGGTTTACACGAGGAAGGTGAGGAAAAAAAAAAAACATTTTATAACTGTGTGATGTATTGTAAAATGTCTCTTATTTTGAAAGTTCACATTCAAGGTTCTTGAAACTTTATTTAAATGATTTTCTTAATGTGTGTTTAACCCCCCCCCCCCCCCCCCCCCCCCCCCCCCACACAATCACACCATCCACCACGCTGCCACACGCTTACCCAGTCTTTTTCTTTCCGTTTTTCGGA